CATCAGGCAGGCCACCTCCCTTCAACCTGCCCCCCAGCATCAGGCAGACCACCTCCCTTCAACCTGCCCCCCAGCATCAGGCAGACCACCTCCCTTCCTCACTTCAAATCCCTGCTAAAAACACACCTGTTCTCGCAGGCATTTCACTCAGTGTCAATTGATCTAGTGTTTTTTAATCTGTGACCCTATGTTTTAAATGCTTTTTATTAATTCTTCAGTTATTATTATTAGTGTATTGTATATATATATTTTTTCTCTTTAATTTTACTCTCATTGATTGTTGTTGTTGTTAAGCACTTTGATAACTGCTTCTGTTTTAAATGTGCTCTATAAATAAAGTTGACTTGACTTGACACATAGAGACAAACAACCATTCACTCTCTCACTCACACCTCGGGACAATTTAGAGTTACCAGTCAGACTAACATGCATGTTTTTGGTCTGTGGGAGGAAACCAGAGTACCTGGAGAAAACCCACGCATGCACGGAGAGAACATGCAAACTCCACCCAGAAGGCCCATGGACCGGGATTTAAACCAGGGACCTGGGTGCTGAGAGGCAGTAGCTCTACCAGTTGCGCCACCGTGCTGCCCCCCTTGAAACACCAATAAATGGTAAATGGGCTGTATTTATGTATCACCTTTCTATCCTGTCAAGACACTCAAAGCGCTTTACAACACAATCTGTGCCCTCATTTACCCAGGGCTTAATTTGTAAACTGATTGATGCCGGAACACAAATAGCAGGTGGTCCGCCTGTGGCGGCAGTGTGTGGTTCCTCCCCCAGAAAATTTGGAATAAAAGAGATACCATTTCCTGCATTTTGGTGTATTTTAACATATTGCTAAACATCTTTGTTTACCTACATTTGTAAATATTTGATTAAATTGATTAAAAACAGGTCTCTCTTGTAAATGAGTCCTCGAGGCTTCAAAAATGTTCAAGACAAAAACAACTGGACTTTATTTGTAACAGAAGACGTTTCGCTTCTCATCCAAGGAGCTTTCTCAATTCAAAGAGCAGTGGTTAGGGGTTAGGTTTAGGGTTAGGGTCTCGAGGCTCATTGAGACAAACAACCTGTAGAAATAAAGGTTGAATTGAAATTACTATTTTAGAGAGCAAGAAGAAAAGCCTGTGAATAGAGCAGCTCTGATTCTGTCAAAAGTCCTACCCCCCACACCACCACCACCTCAAATATCCACCCCTTAAAGCCCAGAGTCATTGTGCATTTTTATTTTAATTATTTATTAAAAATACAACGAGAGGAGACGTTGCCTAATCTGTGGAGTAGATGTTCCAGCCGCAGCGCACGAACCATGCTCCTGCCCAGCAAAAACGCGGACCGCATGTCCCACGGGGAGTGTCTTCATTCACCTTCAGCTGTGTGTATATGTCTATGTGCAGGAGTTCCGACACATAGCAGCTGTGCGCGCTCTGGAGAGCTGTCTGGAGACACTCCTGTGCATAAAACATGCGCTGTCTGCAGGCCGCACAGCTGAAGCATAAAGACGCTCCCCGCTGGACATGCGGTCCATGTCTCTGCTGGGCTGGAGCAGCTGCATGAAGCTGATACCCCACCGTCAGCTTCATCCAGCTGGCTGGAGCATGTGCGTGAGCTGGTGCGCGTAGTGCAGCTGGAACATCCACTCCACAGACTGGGCAACGTCTCCTCTCATTGTAATTTTAATAAATAATCAAAATGGGGAGTAGTGGCACAGAGGTTAGAGAAGGTGGGCCTGTGATCGGAAGGTCGCCGGTTAAAGCCCCGGTACCGACAACATCAAAAATGTGGGTGGGGTAGGTGAAGCACCCACACCTGCCCCCACCCTCATTCGTCCCACTCTGGGCCCTTGAGCAAGGCCCTTAACCCCCACCATCTGCTCCTTTGGGTGTCCTAGATGGCAGCTCTCTGCTCCACACAGAGGGCTGTGGTAGCTCAGTGGTCTGTGGTTGTGTCACGAAGAGTATCAGGCGTAAAATAACTGCCAAGTCTTCGTGCGACTTAGTTTGTTGTGGCAACCCCTAACGCAGGGAGCAGCCGAAAGAAGAAAATAAATAAATAAATAAAAATGCGTGATGACTTTGGACTTTTAGGGGTGGAGATTTGCCGGATCCGGTCAAATAGTGGCCGGAAGACAGTCGGTCAGAATGAGGGAGTTCACGGATTTTGTTCCAGCAGGATCCGGCTCAAATTAACCACTGAATTGACCCATTCATACAGCTCTATACTAGATCTCTACAAAGCTAATTGAACAAATCATTCTAAAGAGACTAATCAGTGCTTTATCACATTCATACACTGATGGGACACACATCAGAGGCTGTGAGGGGTTCAGTGTCTTGCCCAGGGACACTTCAGCATTTGACTGCTGGTGGAGTTGAACCCCCAACTCTTGCATTGGAGGACGACTGCTCTAATCACTCAGCCACAGCCGCCAGAATTCAATTCAATTCAGTTTATTTATATAGCATTAAATCACAACAAAGTTGTCTCAGGGCACTTTACAGAAACATTCACATACAAAAAAGCTAATTAGTAAAGTTCTCTAAGGAATCCAGCAGACAAGTTGAATCTTGGCTTCGTTGCAGTCTCCCATCCTGAGCAAGCACAGTGGCAACAGTGGGAAGAAAAACTCCCTTTTAAAAGGAAGAAACTTCGCCTTATTACGCCTTATTCGGATAGAGTAATAGCTCCCATCACGGTGCCGAGCCGGTCATTTTGATATAACATTCATGGGGGTACAGATTGTTGTTCTGGTCGCATTAAAGTTGATAGAAGAGTTCAAGACACTCTTCAGGTGGATAATAATAGATGGCTGTCTTTAGGCAGTCCCCATTTAACTAAAATATAAACTTGTCTATGTTTGTGAACAATGTAGCTGCAAGTATGCAGTCATTCTCTAAGAGAACATTATTATAACATAGGTGGAAAACCCACTGAAAGAAATAAATTACTATTAGGCTTGCCTGCATTAAATCTGCAGAACACTTTTTCTAGCCCTAAATGAACAAATACATCCTACAGTTGTTTATGACTCATCCAAGGCAGATCTTCTGCTATTTCTCTTACAAATGATAGATGGACATCCAACATTACTGACAGGTAATTATTGCCATTAATGCTATATCAAACCTGATAAAAGATTTTTTTTAAATCTGTACACAGGGACACACCTAATCTTCCAATAAATGGTGACACCAACTAAATGTATGTCTTTTAAAACAATGGGTGATATTGATTATACTCGTAGTACAAAGTATAACGGATATTTAACTGTGTTGATTTCATGTGCATCT